CACAGAACTACAGTACACCATAATACTAGAACTGGTGGTAATAATCATGCCAATTTGTCGTAGCATAGTAATTTTTATAACACTATAATTACGGCCTTGTAGGAAAGCCACCACTTGACTTTCAGTGTTCTTCAACCATTAATTGATTGTGTGCAAGTGTAGGGATTTTAGCCTATGTACAGCCCTTAAAGGAGGTCACCTTTCACCAGTATGCATTATGTATCAGTGGCTTTTGGAAAATACAAATCTCCCCTTCTATCCCTAGATAAAAGTGAATGCAGGAGGATGTGTTCAGATGAATTTCTGTTGAGATGCTGTATTTGCAGAGTGATTCAAAACGCAGCACACTCTCTGGGGACTGCTGTCTCAATTTTCTTGTCAACCTTTTGGAGAGTGTTGTTCTCTCTCAGCCTTTCAGTATGGTGATATTATTTGTAATAATGCAATTGGTCTTGTGCTGTACAAATCTGCTGGAACCTCATGTTCATTAATGCATTCAAATAGAGGAAGTCAACATCAGTAAATGTTGTAATGCTGTAGAGGGCGCTACACATAACAAAATATATGCCAGATTGTTATTGTGACAGTGATTCTGTCTCAAAAGATTATGGGGTGATATTGCACCATGTTTTTATATAGCAAATAATTGGACCTTTACTGCTTTCATGGACACTCATACAGTATGTGCAGTCAAGGTAGAAACACATTCAGTCGATGTTGTCTATATTCTTGTCAAATATATTAAGCTGAGTCCTATTTGTCACCATTTACACGAACATTATAAGAGAAACACTTGCCAAAAAGATAGATGATAATAACAAAGGGTGCAAAAGGGTTTATCTGAAGAAGAACCGTATTCAACTTTGTACTGATATACACAAGAGAGATAAAAGAAGAATGATATTTAGATATTGGTTTACTGCATATTTACTGTACTGTCTGTTGTAATGGCAGTATCATCACAAGTCCAGACCAAGCTGCAGTGGATGACACTGCTTTTACCAAGCAATGAATTTAACCGCCATGTGAGATTATGCTCTTACGGCACTCTGTCCCATTACTGTTATGTCGTGTGTCGTACCCCATTGTTCTCCTTTGTTATAATGAATGTCTTTTTGAATTCCTTCTTTGATATGAGATATGATCAGTCTGTGTTTGCTCCCTGCTGTTTGTGTCAAGGTGGATGCACACGACAAGCCTTCTGATAAGACATATAGATCCAATTAAACCACACAGACAGAAAATCAGGATAGAAACCCCTACAGAGGCCTTATCCCACCATCTAGATCGAGAGACCATGGCTCAGACTGCAAATGTAGAATTTAATCAGCTGAATGAGTCTTCAAGGAGTCCTGGAGTGTCTTCTCCTTCTAATTTAGGGGAATGAAATGGAACAGTGAAGAAAATCTGTGCTTGAATCTGCCAACACTGCCTCACTGTAGGGATACTAGAACCAATTTATTGAATAACATAAAATGAGTGTGTCAATGAAAAAGGGAAAGAAAAGTTGTTTTGCTGGATTTCTTTCTGATATTATGTGAACGTTGGCTTTGCAGAGTGCGGGGTGAGGGGGTAATCAGAAGAGTGCGGGGGTTTGATATAAATGTAAAACTACTGGAAAACAGAACACCTTTTTGGTGACAGAATGAGGAGAGACAGAAAGACAGTAAGTGGTAAGATATCAAAGAGAGAAAGGGGGTGGACAGAGAGAATACGACTCCCTTTATCTGTCTTCTTATCTGAAGCCAAGCAGACATTATTCAGCCTCATAATGAGCTGAACTATGTGCTTGGACTCAGGATTAGCCCTTGTGTGGTGTGATGTCAATTTACCCTCTAAAAAAAAAAACTTTAAATCCTCATATTAACATAGTAGATACTTACACACCTGCAGAAACTACCAAAAACTACCCAGAGCTCAGCAGGGGGACAAGCTCAAGCAGCAGCTATGAAGCCTGTAATGAAAACAAAAGTCCTTCTAGGCTCTTCACATAGAATCACTATTCCAGAGCCGCACTCCACAAGGTTTGCTTCAGTTCTGAATGACAACAACCAAAAGAGCACCTCAGCATGAGAAATAACACAGTGAGAAACAAGGGACATGCAATTATATTGAGTAAATGATAGAAGGGGGCGGTAAATTGAAATGGTCTGAAAACTCTGACTGAACTTTTTAATCAATGTTTGTCATGCTTGTGTGTTTGACTAAGTCATGCTGCCTAATTGTCCACTATCACTATGGGATGTTGTTTGTATCACTACAGAATAAAGTTGGAGAGTGCCCTGGTCACTTTTCCCATCATCTGATGGATTAGATAGATGGATAGGTCCAAATAATCTCTGTCTCTGGTAGATTTACTAGCTCCAGTTTGTGCTGCTCACATACTGTAATCACAATTTCCATTAATACTTTCAGGTGACAGAAAGAAGCCGCTGCTTTCCTCAAATGAAAGTCAAACTTAGGTCAGTTAACACTGAGTGAAAGATTCTACCTCCTTTGCAAGGTGTGTATTTTTTCATTGATCCAAACAAAGATGGCAGCTGTTTAAAAGGCTTGAAGTTCGCACAGATTTCATTTTCATTGGATAGCATGTCAGGAACCAATCAGCTCCTGACATGGCTTGTTTAGTTCAATGAATATGTTTGGGATAAATGTCTTTCTGGCTGTAGGTTATGTGTATTGATTAATATTTAAGTGTGTTATATTTTGTGTCCTCTTTGTTAATATAGTATACATGAGAACCAATGGTTTAAAATGTGTGACTTGCTAGACTAGATTGCAACATGTGACTGAGCACAGTGCCAGACTTAGGTGTAGTGTTGCCATAGTGCACTTGAAGATCCAATCATTGGTAAAGCCTATGTCATGCAAGAGAGCCAATAAAAACAAATGGTCAAAGTTGTCATATTGACATTTAAGGTCTGTTATTTCACAACTGGAAATGAAATATTTTATATATATTTTATGATATATGATTTTATATATATTATACAAATTAAAATTTTGGATGAAAATGAGGTAAGCTTTCGATTGTTTGGGCATGTTAATCCAAGTTGCCAGTGCACAATGACAAAAACTGGATCTTCCAAAAACAGCTGGCACCTGCAGCTGGTTAAGTGCTTTCATTTTCACACAGCCAAGGAGTCACCACTGTGGGGACCAAATCTGCACGGGGGTCTGGGCCTTTTTAATACATTTGAAAGAAATAAAATAGAGAAACAGAACAGATTGTACCTACCGACAGCAGTCGAGCAACTTCTTCTGCTGGGGTACAGCAACACCTCTTGGGCAAATCACACACAGAACTACAGTACACCATAATACTAGAACTGGTGGTAATAATCATGCCAATTTGTCGTAGCATAGTAATTTTTATAACACTATAATTACGGCCTTGTAGGAAAGCCACCACTTGATTTTCAGTGTTCTTCAACCATTAATTGATTGTGTGCAAGTGTAGGGATTTTGGCCTATGTGCAGCCCTTAAAGGAGGTCACCTTTCACCAGTATGCATTATGTATCAGTGGCTTTTGGAAAATACATGTAAACCAATTAAGGTTCCATTCCATTCAAGCCAAACAGAGTCAGGGTGCTGCTTTTGTGCATGTTGGCTTACTGGAAATGCTCTGGTACACTGAATGGAATTGAGCCTTCAAGTAAGGTACAAGAAACCTTTGAAATGTCTTCTGGTGCATTCTACCTTCTTCACATATTTATCAAGATACCTCACACACAATCATAGCAACTGATAATCATTGAATAAACGGCTACCCTGCTTTTGCTTTCAGTCCATAAGAAACCAAAATCTTCTGTAGTGACAGATGACTTTGCCCTGACATTGCACAGTTCTGCAGCAGATGCAGAGATGCCAGTTTGTACAATAATAGGAGCCTCAGAGTCTCAAAATTACCCTCTTCCTCAGACTGCCTTTGCTATCACTTTTGCTTGTAACTCTGCCTTCATGTGTTGAATGCAAAAAGATCAGGAACCCTTTTTGGGGGGTTATTGAAAGGCTCCCTGAAATCATAGCTCAGGCAGTAGAAGTGCAACACTTAAATCACAAAGTAACTTCTGAAATGCTCTGAACATCACATATGAACAATCCCTTACAGTCTCACTGATAAGAGAAAGATAATGCATTATTTAGACAAATCTATCATCTGAAGATAAATCGGTCTATTCTGTTCTAATTGAGTAATTATAGTTATTTAGTTGTTCATAATTTTGTGCATTTATAGCCATGCTAGTCACAAAGCTAAGCTAGGAATAACAATACCATCCAAAACGAAAATATTTCACCAACTATTCAGTAGATTGTTATAATGACTTTGGTGATCCTCTGACCTTTCTTCTAATGTCAATAGCAGGTTAAGGTTTTCACATATTCAGTGAAATAGCTCAAAATCTACAATAGCAGATGGATTACTTACTACATTAAGTAAGGATTAACACATGGGCATGCGTGTATGTGTTATTGTGTGGTACAGGGACAGACAGCAATTATAATACATAATATTAAATGATATGAGGTAAAATGCACTTTAGTTAATCCATGATAAATCTGACACTGTCCAAATACCTTAAACTCCACACTCTCTTCTTTCTGTGTTACTGTCCACCTTTTTTCCTTTCTCTCAGTTCTTTTTAATACACCACTCTTCACATATTCCTTAACCTTGTGCTCTCAGCAAATTGAAAAATGCTATGCAGTTGAGTTCTGATTAAATCTGATACAGACCAAATGGTGTGCTTTAAGTGTGCTATCAAGCTATTTATAAAGGAAGCATCTTGAAATTGTTCTATCAAGTCTGAGGTGACACCCGTCAGAACACATTATGCTGTTGATTGCTGTTCATTTTTTCCCAACATTATCTTCGTTTAACATTTCAGGAAGGGGGGATGCGAACCCGCTCTGGGGAGCTATTCTCTTGTGAAATATTTATTTTAAAAAAAACACTCCAACAGCAGCTGATACCACTCATTAAGCCCCAGCCCTTCCTCCCTCTTGTATCTACCTGTAAACACCTTTGCATTTCCTGGAAACCTCCTGACTCAACACACCTTCCGCCTGGAGACCAGAGCTCGACACCAGCAGGTTAGATAACCCATTTATTCTTACTCGGTTTGAGCTGCGCTGTTTTACCACACAATTATGGATGCTTGTGCTTCCTCTGCAGGGAAAAAAATTGTATGTAAATCCACTTTCATCTCAAATGAATGATTTTGGGCAAACAGAGGCTGGAGGCTTTACTTGTGCTACTCTGGTTTGCTGTGATGCTATGGGGAATGGAGGAACAAGCAGGGATATATCTCCATTTGGCAGCCATTGATCCAGAATGCTTTGGCTGTAAGTGTGTAACAAGGGCATCAGACATCCAGCAATATCCTTTAATTGTTGCTGATGTAGATGACTGAGTTTACTCTCAGACCCAGTAGGATTTAGTGGCATCTGGCGATGTAGTTGCAGATCAAAACTCCCTTGCTTCACCTCCCGAAACGCTTTCCTGCCAATAAAGCCTCCTAAATGTTATACACTGGACCTTTAAATTAATAGTTTGACATTTTGGGCAACTGTCCATTGGTTTCTCATTCTTACCAGTGAAGTCTTGTTTACCCACCCACACATTCGTGGAAACACGATTAATTAAAGTTCTTGTTTTAACTAGTGTTAGAAAAGGTTTTGCATGGCCGGTGGATGACCCATGTGCAATCGGCTATTTGGCTGCCTCCCCTCAGCATCAACAACACCGCCATCTGGGTAAGCCCACACGCACCTGTGCTTTCTGGGAGTGTGCCACAGAGAGGCAAGCAAAGGCTGAAGCACTGAAGCAGAGGTGGAGGGCAGGAGATGGGCTGGAAAAGAGCAGCCATGCAAGGAAAGTCTGTACTTCAACTTATCCATAAATAGTTTAAAACAGATCATAAAATCACTGTTAAAAAGAAAAAGTCACTGAGGGATTGATGCTTCAATCAGCAGCTAAGACAGGATTTAGAGGGTGAGAGAGAGGCACTGTACTATCACTAAACATAACATTTAATTCCCTTGGATAAGTAGATTAAGTAGGAAAAACATGCTCATTACAGGGGATGCTGATGACAGACATGAATGCATTTAGTCTGTATCATTTTTACAAAAGTAGCTTGGGGGAAAGAGGAGGGGTCAGTGATGCACCTGTTACCCCATCACTTTGGCACAGTATGACCCGTGATCCATGGATTATAAGTTATCCACACCAAAAAGGTCAAATCTATTTCCCCTCGGGCGTGCAGCAAGTGTTGGCTGAGTTTGCGTGTGTCTGCAGAATTTCTGACAAGGCTGTCAGCCCCTCTCCAAAGGAAGCCTTCTCCACACCGCCCTGCTCCACTCTCCTATTCATTCACCAGAATAATTCACGCTCAGCTAAAAACAAAACCGACTGCTGAACATTCTTGGGGGCTGAGAAAAGTGTGGAGATGGATGAAAGGACATCTGCAAGCTATAGGGGTGTGCAGATGTGGAGTTTGTGCTGCAGGAGAGGCAGTGTGTGTGTGTGTGTGTGTGTGTGTGTGTGTGGGTTGGTGTGAGGGAGTGTGCGTACATGATGTGCTTTTTAAGCAGGGTTGAATCCTAAATGATCATTGACTAAGCCGTTTTTCAGAGAAGACAGAGCGGGGAAGGTGCCGAGGGCCAGTTTTACAGAACCTGACTAGCCTAAAAATTAGCTTAAAAAAAAACATCTTTAAACTTCCCTCAGCCCAGGAACCAGCCGTGCAGAGTTTACAACCTCACAGTTCTTCTAATTAAATCATCAGAGACCAATCAAGCTTTGTTGCATATATGAATATGCATTATGGCTTCAGAAGCACATTTCTTACTGTTTCTGGATTGCTACCAGCACAGTCATTGTATCCATTTGCAAACTCATTAGAAAAACAAAAGCACCAAACTGGCTTTAAATCATGCCTGGTGCACACTTATCTTTTAAATAATCAAAGACATAATGACTGATTTAACTGATACTTACTATTTTAATTGCAAGAACACACTAGACAATTCAGTCAAGATGCTGGACCACACATTTACTGTTTCAAATGTTACTTCAGAAAACATGGAGGCGGACTGTCATCATCAGCTTGTGGAACTTGTATGTTCTATGTTTTGTACTGAAAACCGTGGATGAAGTCGTGGCTTAGACAACGGAATCAGTGTGGCTATGGTGACACTCATTGGCTCAATGTAACATTGCCATTTCTTACACATGATACGGTTTCATGTCATAAATATCAAATGGGTAGACTGATCCAGTCTGTAGCAGTAAGATTATGTCTGTAAACCTTTCACACAACAGGATCATTTTGGCAGATAATTTGCTCCGTCCAGCCTCAAATCGGGAACACCCCTGCAATTTATGTTAGGGGCTGTTCAGGCTCAAAATCTACCCAATTATCCATTAGTGTGGGGCCAGCCTAAGATTTAAATCCCTAATTAGGTTTGTTTGTGTGTATGTTGCAGGCCTCCAGCAGGATTTCAGATAAGATGTCTTTTATCGCAGATAAATACACAGAGATGAGAAGTAATAAACAGCTCTACCGATATCAGAGAGCAAGAACGAGGTACAGACTGTGAGCCAGCCGGTTGATGCCCGCGGACTCCCTCCCTGATCACCACCTCATTGTTCTTTTACAATGACCTTGGCTCATCACACAATCAAGTGTCTGATTGCATCACACACACTCGGACTGGCTAGTTAGCTTTTATGGCAATTACTGTGGTGCATGTGTGAGTGGCTGTTAGACTCATTCAGGGTGCATCAGTATTCAGAGAAGTTCTGTCTTGTGTAACACCGCTGTTGCTTTGTGGGTTTAACCAGCACAAAGCAACAGCAGTGTTGTTGTAAACACAAATCCCCACTGGATCATGTGTGCACGACTAGAGGCCGGTGTTTCTTCAATTGGTGGGCTATTTGTTGTGAATGAAAGCCATTTGTTTTCATTTTCTTTCATTGGTCAACCAGGACTCTAAGCCCCATCTTAACCATATAACGAATTGAAGCACTTGTAACATAATCAGCAATTGATAAGTAAGAATATAGAGCCATGCTGGGAACTGTGTGTGGCTGTAGTGGTGCTTTGAGCTTAAGGCTGACTTAAGCTTACTAAATATGATCACAATGGCAATGCAATTATTACTAATAATGCAATAATGTAATTCTGTGTGTTAGCATGCTAATATTTGATTATTAGCACACAAAGTACAGCTGAGGCTGATGGGAATGTCATTAGTTTTGCAGGTATTTTGTCATGAACCAAATTACAATTTTAAGTTGATGATGGTGCTAGAGGAATAATTATTACCAAAGTGACCACAATTCATCCTGAAGGGAACATGATATATTTATTAAATGACAATCCAACAGATAATTGCTCAGACACCTCACTCAAAACCACACATGTGAACCTGGTGGCGTTAAAAGAAAAGTCAGAGGATCACCAAAGTTATTATGATTCATCCTCCAGGGATCATGAATGTCACTGGCTAAAGTTAAAATTCTGATTTGCTGATGAGCAACATAAACAGACAGGGGATCACCGGACTCATCCCATATCTGTACAGTAATATCCTAGATCCCTAGAGCCACATCTGCGCGGCTAAGAAACAAGCAGTTAACTCAGACGAAGCATGCAACTAAAAGACTTTCCGCACATCAGTAGAGAAAGGAAGCTGACTGTCAACAAACTCAAATAGTTTCCCTTCAAAGACATGGAGTTAGAATTTCAGAGTTATTGCATCACAAACTTGCTGAAGTTCGAAAAAAAAAAAAACATGGAATAAACAACAACAAAGGTTTAGTCAGCAATGTTTTCTCCAAAATCTGTATGCTGTAATTCTCAGAAATAACTGGGTTTTTGTGTCTTTTTTCAAATTAAACTAAATCCTTGAAAAAACACTCAATAGATGAAGGCTGAATACAGCTCATTAGGATGTGCAACATGAACCCTGCTAAAAATTTAATGGTCTTGGGTAAGACCAGCCCTGTGTTGTTTTTTCCACATGCTGCAGGGTTACTGGACAGCCCTCCTAGGCAGAAAAAGCAGAGACTTAAAGAAAGTGCAGCACATTTTCTTTAGGACATGTTTGGTGACATTCAGGGGCAGCCGGCACAGACAAACCAATCCCTGCTGCAGCACCAACCCAGACGTGAATTAAGATACAGTGAAACCTGAGGAGCCTTCAGTGAAGAAGACAAACAAAAAGACATCACAGGAGTCCATCCGCCTCTGGAAACACAACTAATAACACTTCCTTCTGTGCCAACAGTGTCAGGCCTGACCAGCGACATATCCATTATTCAGAAGGTGTTCCTCTCCATCTATACCACTGCTCTACCCTTCCCAGTCATCCCCACCATAGATTTATAATTTATCACCCATGCCTATAAATGTTTAATTGTTTTTAGAACACCCGCTGGGGATGTATAATTCAATGTTCTGTGCACCAAAAGCAAGCTTTTTCCTTGAAAGTAAAATTACCGATGATCTCCTGAAAAAGGCAGGGACAATCCTGATGATATTATGTAACACAAAATTATCCTGGAGATTCTAGAGATCTAGACCGGTCTAAATTATTGTCTGCGTGTTGGACAGATGCAGAGGAAGAAGATTGATTCTTTTATCCCAGCCCCCTGTCTGTCTGTCTGTCTAAGCTCTACTTCCCGAGCACCAAAATACAAAGCCAAACTAAACTTTAAAATCTCTCAAATTAAAACTGTTGCAAGTAGAAATATAAAAATGCTAATTCACCAAATAGAACACATTTTGTTGGATGATTGTGCACAAGTGCAAAATGATACATTTGTGTGGAATAGAAGAGTTTAATCGGTTGGCTTGCATTGAAATTACAGCATTAAGAAATATGCAGGCCAATGAGTCACCCCTATATTGTCATTGAAGTGGTTTAGTGTTGTGCTGACAGTTCCAGAAGATCTAATGTGATCAATAGACCATAAATAATAATTTATTGCCCTATTAAAGCACGTCCACAAACCGTCTGTCTGCTGAGTCACAACCAAAGAAACTTGGCCCACAAACCGTGCACTTGGCTTTGTGAAGATGCTTGTTCCCAGTAACTATCTGGCACACCCCAAGCCTTGGTACTGTGCCTTCTTAGTGAACTGTAAAGCCCATAAAAGGGGCGGTTCATAGGCTGCATTAATAGTTTGCAAAAGTTTATTGGCAGGCTTTACCACTGAGAGGCAGTTAAAGGTAATTCATGTGGCATTTGTGCGAGCTGTTTGCCTGATAATGAAGCCATCCCACTCTTAAAAGTCTGGTCACATTTCAGATAATGTCCATCTTTGCCTGTTTGTTAATGTGAACGTCAATGTCACACAGTAATAGAGCAGATGAATCTAAGCATGCTGATTCACAACCATTTTAAAATATTTAAATTCATCTCATGTATTCTTGCTGACTGACAACTTCTCCTTGCTGATATATAATAATGGTTATTTTAACATAGATAAAAAAACAGTATAATTCAGACACCAAAAGTATTCTTACACTTATACATTTTAAATAGTTTGAACACCAGGAGAAGAAGAATTTAATGATGAAATGAAACTTTCATTCAGTCGATTTCCACACAGTGTTGCATGACAGGAGAGAATAATGTTGTAACCATTTTTCCCCACAGATACTGTCCGATTTTAAATTTGTTTTCTAGTCCAGAAAACTGATAGTGACAGCTAAATATTTTGGGAACCCATTTTTCTTTGTCTACTTAGCGGTGAGTTTGAACAGGTTTAAACTGTGATTTATTTTGTTTAGTCAACCTTTATTTGACCAGGCAAGGCATCAAGAACAATGTCTTATTTCCAATGACAGCCTGTCGGTCCATAGTATGTTCGGCTGATATTCTGTGATCCAATTCCAATAGTGCTAACTATAGACCCACCTTCTATTTTTTACGTTTTAACAGCAGCTTTGCTAAAGCAACACAACTTTTAATCTCAGTTTGTTACAGGCATTGTTATGCACTTGACATTGAAAAAGGAATCTTCCTGGTGGTGATTTCTTATAGTCTATTTAACTATTGCTCAGAGGTATCTTTGTCTCCTTCTGTCCTTTTAAATGGGTTGAACCAGCGTTTTGTTCTCCATACTCAAGACATTACTTTTTACGAGCCCTTAATACAAAATAATGTCTATTCATAAAGAAATAGTATTTGTGTACATTTTGTATGAATATAGTAATTATAATGATAACAATAATGATTTTTAGTAATGTGATGTCCATTAGACAGCATCATGTCTGGGCTTCATCCAGCACCTTGTTGGTTTTGCTTTGGTTTGTGACACATTCTGACACATTGATCATCAGAGGATTCATGTTAGCTGTCTGCGAGGCAGCAGCAGACATGGGGAAGCTTATCACATATGAAAGAACGTGCTTGGCACCCCACTGTGTTGACTTGCCCAGTGCAAAACATTGTCTCGGTCATGTGCGTGCCTGTAGATTGATCTCCACATGAGGGTGTTTATCACGTGCCAGTCAGTATAGTCTGGCTTTATTTAATTTTTCTGATTTTTAATTTTTATAAAAATGTTGGCACTTGTGTAACGGTTCCACATGGTCCTAAGGTTGCACTGCTGCACCACAATACATTCCTGAATGCAGTACCATGTAAACCATCAGCATATAAATGATGGACATCATGACTCCACTTTTTCCCACTGTATAAAAATTAAGCCAAATTATCCTGGACATGGCCGCTGCCATCTTGCGCCGATGACCTCATTCAGAGCCAGAGTCTGCGTTGCAGTAACAAAGTCCCGCCCAAATGCCCAGCAGACTTAATTAAAAAAAACCTTTATAGCTTCAAATAACTAATTAAAACCATATCAGAAATATTAACACTTGAACATACATCAGCGTGATACGAACTACCTAGGTTTTTTTAGTTTGGCCCATGTCCCATCTGTTAACATGGAGGCAGCAGGCTTTATGGCCTTTACTGCAGTCAGCCATCAGGGGGCAATGGAGATGTTTTGGCTTCGCTTTTGGGAAGCTTTAATGTCATCCATCTTTATATATGTTGATGAACAGATTATTCCAGTGTATCATATTGTTTAGGAATACATTTCGCCAAACACACTACTGAACTACTATAACAGTTGACTTGAAATGCCGGTTGCTTATTTAGTCATAAATATTTAATGTCACTGGAAAATACTTGATTTGGGTTTTAGAGGCTTTAAGTTACTGAAAAGTAGAGCAATAGCTTTCTTCTGAGCACACGTGTTAGCTTCAGCCTACAATTTCATGAGCATAACAAGGCACACCGTCAACATTTTACTGTATATGCCTTTAAACCCTCTGTTGTTTTTACATGCTGTCTCTTATTCCTTGCCTTGCACATACCTTCTCTGTCACTTATTGCCTATGTTTGACCCTTGCACCCTTTAACACGGAACGTGCTTTCTCAGAAGAGTGCCTGTCAGGCATAATGAACCGCTGTGTGAGTGATATCACCACCACCACATGTGACAAGGAAAGAGAGCTTAAGCCATCGGTATCAAAACCAGGAGAGCTGGCCTGCAGGAGGAACATGATGGCTTCAATTTGACCACATCAAGTATGATTTTACATAATAATATCATGTATGTGAAGTATTGCGAATATTGTCGTGGTTCAACTTGTGTCTTATGAGCTATCGGGGTCATGACCCAGATTTGGGGACAGACTTCCTATAGTCCAATCACACACGAGGTGGGTAATCTCCATAATTAAAATGCTTGAAAATCCTTTCGTGAAGAGGTTCTTATGCCATTATGCTCCATTATTATTATTATTATTATTATTATTATTATTATTATTATGTGTGTTAAGTATTTTTCATCAACGGAAAAAGGAATTGAGCTAAATCCTATCGTGCATGCTAAATCTAAGCTGCTTGCACTGACTAAGGTCCGAAGAGATGACAACAGCTTACAATGACAGATCTTTTTATTGACTTCTCTAGACAGGTGTGAACATTGGTCTTCTGCCACGTGCACAGATGGACCCCATATTATTATTATTATCATAATTATTATTATTAGCATTATTTTCAGTTATGGAAAGGTAGCCTACATTATGATTGGCAAAAGAAAGGTCTTAATTGAACTTTCTGCCACTGGTGTTAAATTTTGCTTTCGGCAAAAGCAAGAGAACATGCACTGTGTTATGGCATTATTATGAAAATATCAAAAATAGTGTTACGTTTTGTTAGTCAGGACCAGTATCTGTCCTTTACAGATGTGTGACAGCCTTCTCTTATTATTCAGTACATGTCTACAATCATATGAAGGCAGCATGTCATTCTATTCTATATTCTATGTCATTCTATCTTGTTTGGGGAATTGGTGCGCATTTTCAAAGCAATGCTTTATCCAGCGTGGATACTTAAATGTAATCATTTGCCAGCAGCACCAGGCTATTGCAGAAGTACACAGACTTATTTGGTTTATACACACTAAACTGGCCGGCTATAACTTTTAAGTTTATACATTTTAGGCAGCAGCCCTAAAAGTGTCCCCTCCAATCATGACTTGCGCATATAATTTATTGCTTCAACCCTGTGTGTTTTTCCCTAAACCTTTGAGTCTTGCAGAAACCAGTGGAAACTAACATGAACTCTGAAGTGAAGGGTCATAAGGAGAGGGTAGCTGCAGCTGCCCCTGATGGCTGCTACGCCTGGTTCATCCTGCTCTCCTGCTTCCTGGTCTTCGGCCTGACGTTTGGTGTCATTAAGGCCTTTGGTGTATTCTATGTCGAGATACACCGATATTTTGAAACCACAGCAACAGGAACATCTTGGATTACCTCTATTGCAGTGGCTACCATTCATGTTGTGGGTAATTATCACAGTACTTTTCTTCTGTGTTTATAAAAAATAATATACACATTTCATATTCATATCTTTAAAAATCCCTCCACTCTGACTGTGATGTCAACTACAGAAATCTTGAGCTTCTGACCGCTACGTGGCTCTCTTCTACATCTTACAAGACTGTTCAACTCTAAATGCCAGATCCTTTCTTGTGTTGAATGAATTTTACTGCCTTAATCACGCACCAAACTAATAGAAAATACAATACAAAGATTGCCTTTTGATTTTCAAATGAATGTGTGGGGAAACTAAATTATTATCTGCTGCAAGTGTTGGTCTACCAAGGCAGTGAAAGTAAGTGGGATTAATTTAATAACTCTTAAACCTCTTAAAAGTCTTCTGTGGTTTAACTTAGTATCTATTTTCACTGAGCTAATAGTCAGCAGGATTACATCTTCATTCGAACATCTTAAAAATAAATAGGACCTCTTAACGGATGTGAAGTACATAGTCGAATAGCATTCCTGTTTATGTACTGAATAGAATTTATGAATGTACTGTGCGTCCCTCTGCAGCTCCTGTAGCGTCTGCTCTGAGTGCTCGCTTCAGCCACCGCTCTGTAGTGATAACAGGAGGACTGATATGCAGCATAGGAGTCGTGTTGGGGGCTTTTGCTCGTAATCTGATTGAACTCTACTTAACAGTGGGGTTCTTAAATGGTGAGTGGTAAGAAGTAAATACACACAACAAAAACTCAAAAACATACACACAAAATATAAAATTCACTGGTCTCCTCTGCTGCAGGTTTTGGCTGTGCATTGACATGGACGCCCACAGTGACCATGCTGGGCTTGTACTTTGAGAAGAGACGGCCCGTAGCAAATGCCTTGGCCAGCGCTGGAGAGTGCATCCTTACATTTGTCCTCACACCCCTGTTCCAGTTGTTGATTGACAGCTACTCCTGGAGGGGTGCTTTGCTAATCCTGGGGGGTTTGCAGCTTAACCTGTGTGTTTGTGGAATACTGCTCAGGCCTCTAAACACCACCAGAGACGTGACTTGTGAGGTCAAGGCGGAGGAGGAGGGCTTGTCCCTGGAATTGCTACCAAAAGATGACTCGGAGCAGCGTAAACAGGGCTGCCTAGAGGCAGAGGCAGAGGCAGAGGCAGAGGAGTTGAGAATATCTGAGAGGTGTGATCAGGGGAAAATCAAAGCATGTCATGAGGACCCTGAAGATATTTCAATCATGAAAGTGCAAGACTCTAACAACAAGACTAAGAGGGCTGAACTAAGGACCAAAATCCTTCGCTACGTAGATTTTACCCTCATCACCAATGCTCGATTCATGGTCTACTCAATGTTTGGGGTGTTTGCTGCGCTGGGTTTCTTTGCCCCAGCTCTCTTCCTGGTTCCATATGCTCGTAGTAAGGGAATTGAGGAGTACCAGTCAGCAGCACTCATATCCATCTCTGCAGCGTTGGACCTGTTTGGAAGGGTGTTCTTTGGCTGGGTGGCAAACTTGAGACTGGTCCAGATGGTACGTTAATTTTAAACATTTTAAAAATCACATATTTGAAAGCAAAGGTGTGCCCCAACTTCGGTATCTGCACCATGTAGCATAGCGCATGTGATTATATTAAAGGACCAGTGTGTAGGATTTAGTGGCATCTAGTGGTGAAATTACAGATTGCAACCAACTGAATACAACTCAGCCCTCCAACCATGTAGCAAATTACAGTGGCTGTGGTGGACTCCACGGAAGAGGACCTGCTCAGGTGATAACTATCAATATTATATTCCATTACTGCCAATAGATCCTCCTATATGTTACACACCGGACCTTTAAAGCAAAGTTTGACAATTTGGGAAAATAAGCTTGTCTTATTTGCAGACAGTTAGGTAAGACGATTTAAACCACTTACACCTAAAGCCACAAACCAATTAGCTTAGCTTAGTATTAAGGCTGGAAGCTGGGGGAAACAGCAAGCCTGAACAAGAACAAAGGTAAAAAAAAAAAATCCACCTTCCAGCTCTCTCATTAACATGTTATATTTGTTTAAGCTGTACAAAAGTGTGTGTTTTACATGGAGTTGTGTTGAACTAGATCCTAGCCTGGAGCAGTAACTTCCTATAGACTCTGCTGGTTGGTTGTCTGGCAACCTCACAAAATTCCAGGGGCCTCATCAGGACTGCAAGGAATAGTCCATCACATATGCTTTAGGCAGATTTTTAGGCAGAACCAGGCTAGCTGCCCCCCCTGCTTCCAGTTCTTATGCTAAACTAAGTTACTCAGCTGCTGTTTGAAGCTTCAATATTCAGGGTCTAATCTCATCAAACTCTCTGCAAGGAAGCAAATTTTGCATGATTTCTAACTATTCCTGAAAAGAAGCAATGTTCTGCCTGCATAAAAAGGTGTATGGGTAGAGAGGGCACTGCCGATGCAGCATCTGACACACAGTGTGTCTCCTGTGTCTCTGTTCCTACCAGGTTCAGCAGCTGACAGCTACAGTTTTTCTGCTGGGTACTGTGTTGCTCCTCTGCCCACTGGCCTCATCGTTCTCAGAGCTGGCTGCTTTCAGCGCCGCTTACGGCCTGGTGTACGGTGCCACGGTCGCCATCCACATCACTGTGTTAGCTGAGGTTGTGGGCGTCCACAGGCTCGGAAGTGCTCTGGGGTTCTTCATGCTCATACGCAGCACCGGAGGTCTGCTTGGACCGCCCATTGCTGGTGAGTGAGAAAAATGCTTTGATAGTCAAATTCAAGTACACAGTGTACCTACTGTGCATATCAAAAAGAAATGGATTTCAGCTTTGAGATGTTGCTGTAAAATTCCCTGTGATCCATCCCGCCATGCTAACTGGCTGCCAGCTAGAAATAAACAAGAATCTGAGTAAAAATTAATAGAATAGAATTGTATTTAATTTGCCAGTTGTTAACATTTCTATTAGCTTTGGAAAAACCCCAAATCATTAACTCAAGGTTACGGTGTCCGTCATTTCCCTGGACCTATTCTTCCATCACATTAAATCTTGCACAATTGATGTGCTTATACATCATTCTGCATTGTAACTACAGCCGAGTGAGCCTATTCAACAAAAATGAGAATTTTACACATTGACATGCAGCACCACCCTTCAATTAATCATGAATTTTGTTGATGGTCCATCTCCCAGGAGCCAAGGTTTTTATATTCACTGAGCAACTGTGCAAAAATTATAATATCATGATACTTTATGGTTGTGTTAATTTCATGGCTGATCGCGTCCCAAAGATTCTTTTTTCCACCTTTAAATGGAGTTTATTCTCCACTGACTTTCCATTCTGTTACTTGTGACATTTGTCCAAGTTCATACACTGTGTCCTACAGAACATGAGAACAACTGTAATACCATAATGGCATAACAGGGGAGTAGAGAAAACCAAAATATCTTGCAAATACCAAATAGGATTTTTTTCTCAGACTTGTTCAAACCTGGGGTGAGGTCAAAGCAATAACTGATGCTTTGACCTCTTGGGGTCAGCAGAAACAAGCTGTAAACACCACATTGACATGGTGCCACACTGGGGTTAGGGGGTGCTGTAGCCACATCACAAATCTGCATAGCCCCATAAGCCCGCTCAAACATGTTAGTGCTTTTTAATTTTAAATAAATAAATAACCAGCCATTCTGTTCCCTGTTCAGTTGTGTGCTTGTGCGCTGCATATTCCCTATGGCACATCAACACCATATGCATTCCCTATACATAATGGAGACAACTGTACACAACAACGCGTAAGGGAAATATCAGTGTCCTCAGCTGCTAAATGCTCCACTGTGTTGACCAGCTAGTTGCTAACTTTTACTATCTGCCATTTGGTGCTGGGCAGGTAAAGTGTACAGCAGATTTATCAAACTGTTTTCACTGAAAAACGTTGAATATTTTGCTGACAGGACTGAAAATGACACTGATGAACCAAACTAAAACAAAAGCTGAAAGACACTAAAATGCTCAGTATAGCTGGGGGTAACTGTCAAGTAATAATTCTCTTTGGGTTCAGTCATGTGATCCATAATTAATATGAAAATATAAACTTATGGTGGGAAACATAAAACATCCCGAAGATCTTCCTGATATTGTCTTTTGCAAAGATTAGATCCATCTTCTCTAAGTATAAAAATCTGTCTTGCTTTTCATGTATATCTCCTTTGGGATTAGCATACATTTAGTAAAGAAAATCAATTGTCAGTGGCTGTTAAGCTTCTCAAATGTGTCAGCTACTTGGGCAATCTTTTTGCAATTATCTTCATTAGTCTATTCTATTGTGAAAAATAAAAAAATACTGTTAAAATAGTTAAAATACCCCTGGTGCTCACATCCTGCAGAATAAAATCCTATTTTCCTGTCCTCTGTTCAAACCAACATTAACTGCAGCCCCACCACCCACAGCGCCGTCCTGCAAACCAGTGAGCATTTGAACCGGATTACTGAGGTTATGACCCATTTTCACACACAGCTCTAAACAATAGCAGTAAATACAGCCTGAAAAACACCCAGCTTGACTTTGGCACCTAGACACAGCAAACCCTGCCAGAAAGTGCCCTGCCTCTGAGCACAGCTAGCAGTAAATCAGCTGGGGTAACCTCTCCAGCGGAGTGGAAAAATAACACATTCACATAATTGTAGTTTGGATTCATTTGATGGTATTTATCGATTTCCAAGAAGGCTGTCGGTGTAGCAAAAACAAATAATGAGAGTGATTTGAGTTATTAAAGTGTGACAAGCTGCTATTCTTTCACTCTGCAGGGTGCATGTGGAGTGGACAGAAACAAATAATTCTCCTGCTCAGTCATCATTCCTAATTTTCCCTTTCATTTTTCCATTAACCTCTGTTTAACAAGTTCCTGATAATTTGGATTAAAGGAATACCACTACATGTAAATGTGAAATTTAAGATAACGCTAAAGGCTTGAACTGACCTCAAATATATTTAAGAGCCAATTAAAGTGAAGGTGGTGTTCTATTTATAACTTAACCCGGTCCCCCTGATACGGATGCTATTTCTAACTTATTTACTGTACCATTCAGTACTTTGAGCACTTTGAAGACCAGAGTTGATGGATGTTGAGGATTCATCAAAGCGTTCTAATTATGTTTCCTTCACAGGAGGACAGCACTGGCAGTACCGCCTTAAGATAAAATGAATCTTCCTCTCTTCCTTATCTCTGCTTCAGTCTTAGGCCTTGTATATAATTATCTGTCATTAAATGAAGCCAACATGATACCTTAATTGTTCTATTACTGTGTTTTGGTTAGCACAGGGGCATTCCAGTGGAGAATTATTGTTGTCATTATACTAAAGGATATAAAAAATATATTTAAAAAAAGATATATGACTGTGTCAAAGCTGCAAATCACTGAAATTCAATGTTCTCTTTAGGATTATTCATAGATAAGATGAGTGATTACGGAACAGGTTTCCTCATGGCAGGAGTGGCTCTCATCGTCTCTGCTCTGTTCCTGCTGCTGCTCCATCAGATGAACCGCAGGGTCCAGGGGTCAACCACCACGAACTGCGATATGCATACGGACAAAATGGAACAAAGCCCCAGAGCTGAAACCAAAGAACTGGACATGACATGAATGAAAAAAAAGTGTCTGTGGCTGATAAGACGATGAATTGAAAATAAATCTGAAACTCAGGTCAAAAAGTGGAAAGTTGCTGTGTAGACTGAAGCAGTGTTTTTTTTAATAATGAAGAAATGTTAAGACATCTGCAGGATCAACTGGGCCTGTCAGAGTCAACTGGTGCCTGTCTGTAGGTGACTTTGTCACCGTCTCTGTCTGTTACACAGACCAGGGAAAGTTTCAGTTAGCAGGATATTATGAAATTGATCTTTTGTACAGTCATGTTTTGCAGCTGATCTGTCCTGTTTATTATTGTTAATGGATAAACACTGAAGAGAAAAGAAATGTTGCGTAACAGAGGCAGTGTTTGGGCGATTTGAGAACACTTCTTTATTAACCAAACTGCAGCCAGGAAAGAGCTTTAAAGCTTTCTTTATATTTTTCACTTTGCAGGTTAAATCAAATTCCCTTTATCCTAAACCTTACTGATTGCTAGATGTGATGCGGCAGCATTTTGCCATACATTTGACAATTGCTAATTTCATTTCTATCTTTTATATAATATTAAGATATTGAAAATTTAAATTGGGTTAGTAAATCTTAAAGTGTTATGGTTTTTCTCTTTAAGTCATTTATTGTTTTGAGCTTTACTGTTTTCTTGTTTTAAGATATTGGTGGGAGGTCTTTGGAGTTTTTTTCGAAGTCAAGGGGCAAATAGTGGCAATTTTTTAAAATGTGAAACATAAGGTTCCGTCCTCCTCCCTACCCCAGTAATGTATGTAGAGTCCCTAAAGTGTTCATATTAAACATTAACCTGATTTCCTGGAATGTTGGAAAGTCACATACTGTCACTTTCCTACTGTTGATGCTGTGTTTGTGTGTCACTCAGGTTCAAAATGTGTCAGGAATGTGACAATCATGGAGCCGTATGGATTTTAATTGATTTAGATTGGTTAAAAAGTTGATTAAAAAATCGAAAGCATGTGTTTTACATTAATCTTAAAGTCACACTTTGTTACTGAATGTGTTTGTCCTTTATTGCAGTAGTGTCATGTATGAGTGAGTGCTATGTTACAAAGTGAAAATGTGACTATGGCTCCCTCCAGTGAGAAGTTACTGATATTGCATTTGCAACCGTCACAACTGCAGGACTGAGCTGAAAAGTGCAGATACATGCAGACATTATTATACACACAGGGAAGATTGGAGAATGTACAGATGTGGACCAAACAACCAAATTACTTAAGTTTTTGTTTCAGTACTCAAACTGAACGCAGTATCCTTTGCTGCTGCTGCAAAAACTTCAGTGTATAAGTAAACTCCCATTAACTTAATAGCAGCTATTCAGAAAATAAGTGTTAAATTACATTAGTGGAACAACAGAACACGTTCTAAATGGTTCAGTGGATCCCAATGCAGCCTGAAAGCCAGTGAGAAAAGCTTTTCTTCATGTTCTTGCTCTGCTGCATAATGTTTGGTATGTGCAACCATCACGAAAACTAGCTTTCATATCCCCAAACCAACAAGAGGCAGCAGATAAACATCTACAACCTGGAATAATTCAAATATAACAAGTATAAATAAACATATCACTCTGCATAAATCTGCAATAACAAACTCTAAACCAAGATTTACAAACAGTGGCCCTTACTGGAACCATCCCACACCGACCCCCCACCACCACCTCACTAACAAACACCATCTACACACACACTCATACACACACACACACACACACACACACGTACACACCAAAGGAAAGAAACTGCAGAAAAGAAAACTTGCCACGACAAGAGAGCTAGTCACAAAATACCACAAGCCTTTGATCTACCAGACAGGAACAAAGACATAATCCATGTTTCATAGAAACCAAACACATAGAGGAACACACACACATACACACACACACACACACACACACTTTATGCCATGGTTGACTGCCAAGAGAGAGAAGAGGCCGCCTATTATCAGGGAAAGGAAGACTATTGGTTCAAAATTATCAGAGGATTTCCAATCCAGTAAACCTAAAATCTGCTGTTACTTGATACAGACTGCTACTTGAGGAAATCTCTAAACCCTTATTAACACACTGTCTGTGCTGCACATAAAGTGAATATGTCTAACTGAACAAAACAGGCAGTGTGAACTTCAAAACCATTGTCTTTCATATATTAAAATATTTTTTATTTATTCATTGAGCTGATAAATGAATAAATGCACTCAGATACTAAATACAATGTGACCATGCTGCTCCTTTTATCCTTCTTAAAGGGGCGCTCCACAGATTTTGTATATGAAGTTCAGTTTACTCGTTACAAGGAGTGCAGCTCAGATTATAAAAACAGTTGTAAAGGGTCTTCTGAGCTTTCCAAAGTCTGAAAAAAAAAACCTTAATGATAACACTATGATGTCATCTGGGTTATCTTTCTTTGGTCTTAGAGGTGGTCTTATTGGTCTTAAGACTTAAAGGTCCAGTGTGTAACATTTAAGAAAAAAATATTGTCAGAAATGGAATATAATATTCAGAGGTATGTTTCGTAATCACCTGAATGTAGAAATCATTGTTTTATTTACCTTAGAATGAGCCTTTTTTATCTACAGACACTCCAGGTCGCCTTCCATGGAGTCCTACAGTTGAACCGCCATGTTTCTACAGTAGCCAACTGACAAACCAAACACTGGCTGTAGAAAGGGCCTTTCATGTTTTTTGCTAGTTTCGTGGCCACGATAGTTTCTTCTCCACACTTCACAACTTGTTCTCATTCCCAGGTCATCAAATACAGACACGAGCGGTGTTCAGTTAGTCTGCAATCTGCAACTTCACCACTAGATGCCACTAAATCTTACACACTGGTCCTTTATTGGAAAGCATTACGAACTGGAGATGTGGATTTTTAAAAGAAATGGTAATTCAGGAGGCTCGGAAGATCTAATAAAAGATGAAGAGTTAATTTCATTCATGGGAAATGGAGGATTCAGCATTTTTTGAGGCTGCTTTGATTTTGATCTCTTGTGAGACCCCTTTGCTTTATGAAAGAGAAACACACACTAACTATGATCATTGTTCATACATGGGAAGGTAGAGAACTGGTGAGACAAGCCCATGTGCTCAAACTTCTAGCAACTAAGTGGTACTATTTCAGTTTTCACGTGGCCCACAACCCACTGCATGTGTGTGTGTGTGTGTGTAGAGAGAGAGAGAGAGAGAGAGGAGCAGCAGAGATATGGGACTGTCTACATTTGACCCTTTCAACATCAACTCCAATAAAGCAGAAAACACAGAAGGAGCTTTGAAGTCTAACAGGACTAACTGAAGTGCCTCCCAGTCACTTTGACCCCACAGTGGAACCCCTGGGCTCTGGGTCGCTATAGAAACAGCTGAAATAGTTTTTCTTTTTTTCAGTTTTTTGAGCCGACCTTGCTCCCGGGGGTCACGTTGAGGAATGCTGCACAGCTACCTGAGTTCAAAGCGCCCGGTTTAGCCGGACGAGAAAGAGGAGAGGTGAGAAGAGGAGGAGGAGGGAGAGGAAGAGGGAGAAACTGAAATGAGAGGATAAAAGAGGGGAGAAAAGGGATGATAACTGGGAGAAAGTTGGGAGAGGAAAACATGAGGAGGGAAACTTAAAACTGAGGAGGGGCACAAGAGGGGACAGGAACAGTAGGCAGCAAGCTACAGTAGAAAAAAAAAGGGAAAGGAAAATGAAAAGAACTGAGGAATGTGAGAAAAGAGAATGAGAATGAGAATGAAAATTACTGGGGAAACCTTCAGAGCTAGCGGAGCGCAGTCAGATCTTGTGCTGGTTAGGGCAGGGCCATTAGAGGATGAAGGATAATGATACAGGAATAAAGCAGTCATGAAGTGGAAGCAGTTGCGATCAGGCATGGCTCTAACCTCCTCGCTGATTAGAAGAAAAGACACGGTGGTAATGAGAAATGAGTAGTGTAGCTACAGGGGGTTTAGCCTAATGAGCGTTACTCGCGACCAGACACACCACACATCCTCCACCGAAGGCAGGAATGCATGCTGAAACAGGTTACTGCATTAAGGCTCGTGTGTATGTGACCTGTTGCTGATCTGAGATGTGTCTCTCCCTAGGTGACTTTTCAGATTGAAGTTCATAATAATAGTATCCCTGTCCAAGCTCAATAGTTTATTGTAGTGTAGGGAATTTAAGTATAGGTTCTTCATATTCTTTTCAGATTTTTGAGACACAAGGCTAAAAAAATACAGGACTCAGGCAGATGTTTGGTCTACTTTCTCTGTTGGCAATCACACCTCACAGCACTCTTTCTCCCTTTATCATTCCATCTGCATTTCTTCCGTCCTTCAGCTTCTTGTTTTCTTCCTTTTCCCACTTGATCTTCCTCATCTTCTCTTATTTTCCATCAGCAGGCGCCGGTCTGCATCTTCAAACAGCTGTCCCACTTTAACTCATCAGGGTCATTGTGTTGCCATAAGTCACACAGGAAAGAAATACAATCACATAAAAGCATGCAGAAGCAACAATAGATCATATTTCAGACATTGCTAATATGTGTTTTTAAAAGAATAGATGCAGAGGTACATTATCAGACTACATTACCAGTGAAGAAACCTTTCCATTTCTGTGTTGATGTATCCGTTTTTTTTAGTCTGGCAAAGTGGAGAGGATGGCGCCAGTAGAACTCTTCTTGGCTCTTAATAGTCAAATAAATCCACAATACAATCTTGTGCTTTGCATGCATCCATTCTTTATATGTATGTGAGTGTGTTATCACTCAAACTCAAACCATACAAACAAGACAAACACACATCCCTTCACTGACTAAAACAGCCATTAAGTCAGAGATTTATCTGCCCTCTTCTGCTGCTGCTCGAGGTTTATATCAGAAACATATTAAAACCAAATGCTGGGATGCAGCTTATGCTTGCTGAACTTTTTAAATGAGAGACAGTAAAACAGAGCAAAATAGACTTTTATTGCTGTTGATATACAACACATCAAAAGGAGAAAATTAGTTTTGAATGAACGGCGTGAGTCAAAGTGCTATAAAGTCCTCTAGAGATGTCTCTCCTTCCTCACTATGATGAAATCATATCAGAATAAATACAGATGTAGTATGATGAATTAAATTCTATAGGCACGTTTTAGGATGTGTTCTGTGTATAATAAGTATTATTGTAGTTATAGTTATAGTAGTAAGTGTACACTGTAGGTTAATTGAAACTCTAATTGTTGAAACTGATTACATTGAAAGTAAGTTAAGATAAACAAACTCAGTTTGTTACTGAAACACTCTTGATCAAGTAGCTTTAGTAATTTCAAGTGATGCTAATTTTGTAATTTCTATTTGTACTGTGAAAACAAAATATCTAGTAAAAAGTACTTAATCAGGAATGTTTCTGTAACTTATAAAACTAAGTTAGTGTCATTTAAAATCACTAGTAAAAGCTGCTTCATCAAGAATCTTTTCAAACCTACAAAATTTAGTTTGTGTTACTTAAAATTTGCGATGTATTCCGTTTCAACTGTGTTTTTTGTAAAGATAACTTATTGCATTAGAGTGTATTATCCTTGTATATGCGTATGTGTTGAGAGGTTGCAGCCTGTAAATTCAACTTTCACCCCTCTCCAAAATCCAGCAGCCTACCAACCATACCAACCAATCACAGCTGGCCTCTGACCTCTCAAACTGACCTCTGACCCCGGCTGACAACCCTGATTTGGAATGAATGGCTTTGACAGGCTTCTGCTTCAGGGTTCAGCACACTGACCCAAAAGCGGCCCACCAGAGGAGCGTGCTAATAACCATTAAGCTGATAACAATGACAATACCAAAACAATATTTTTGAGCCATGCCTGAACCGTGTCCGTATGGCTGGTGTAATGCTTTTTTTTGGGGGGTCCAACAATATAAATGTTCTCATGCTACACTAAGATATTAAACAAGGTTTACATTACCTGGTAAACATCAACATGTTAGCCTTGTCATTCGTTAGCATGCTGACAAGTCACCCTTAAATAACCCTCTCTTATGAAAATATATATTTCCTATGCCAGTGTCGGACATTAATTCACAGACACAGCTGAAGATTATTATCATTTCTGGAACATGCCTCAGTGTCTCGCACAAAATTCCCTTTTTCTGTCAGAAATATACAGAATAAAAGGAGCCACCATTATTATTCCCAGGTTTATACACTCAGGCACAGATACAATAAATACATACTGTATATACATATTAGAACTTGTAAATGTTTTGGGTACACAGAAACCACATACTATCAACACATTCGCCTCAACCTCTGTTAGTATACAAAGTGCACATATTCCATCCAGATGCACAACCTGGACTTCATTATGAAACATATGCCATACATATTCCCTTTTGGATTCTACAAAATCATATTTACTGTGCTCGTATAATCGTCACGTGTGGTTGAGGAGCTGCCCTGACCGCTGAGCCAGATCCATTTCTGGACAGCTACCAACTATTACGCCATGAATCAGACTGGAATTAATCTTGACCATCAGAGAGTAGAAGCATGTGATATGAAGCCCCCTGAGACTCGCAGACACTCCACCCTGCAGAAACAGCTACAATGTGTCTTCGCCTCCAGAGAATGCCTCTCAGATTAAAGGAATTTTTGTCTTTTGAGTTGGAGAGTCTGTCTCCGAAAAGACTTAATCTTTGTGGTGTTTCTTCCCATCTCTCTAATTTATGTCTTTAATGTATTTAATTCATTCACAACTGTAAGAATGGATGCTGTGTCCAGACTGAATGTCACGTCTGGTTTAGCTGTGGAAGTAGTTATGTGTGTATGTGAGTTGCAGTACAGTATGTGTGTGTGTGTGTGTGTGTGTGTGTGTGCATGCACTTCAAGTTGTTGTACGTGTAGGCTGGAATGTGTGAATGTTTCAGCCCTTATCCGGTTCATGAATGCAATTGTTCATTTTATTTGATATTCATGTATACATTCCAGATTTAGAAAGGGTGCAGGATATGGATGATGTATGTGAGAACATGTCTGGGAATATTAGCACTGTGTCTATGACTGGAAATAGTACAGCTGCTTTTTTTCCCATTGAAAAGAACTTAAGATAACTCAGGGTGCGGTACAGTTACAAACTTAACAAGATAATAAAACACAGAGCTAAATATTGATTTTATTGTACTGAATTTCATTTCACTCCAGGCACATCTAAAACCTAACACACATTTTAGTGACTGCAGCAAATATTATTAGTGCTACAAATGGTTTAAGTTGTTTTTCTCTTTGTTCTCTTGTGATGCATCATTTTCAATAAAGTCAGGTCATTTCTAGATTAAAAGTATCTTGATTACAGCACAGGTAAATGCCACATATAGGACAATTACATTGTTGGCAGCAAAGTTCTGCTTTAAAACTCTATGTGATACCCTGATAACGTAGTATTTAAACAAATGTTGATCATAAAATGTTTGACTGTGAACAAGTTGCACTGCACTGAAAGTACGTAAAGCTTAACTCAATAATAACTCAATATGTAAAGAGTTGGTGTACTTTCAGCCTTTCCAAAACCAAAACTACAAGAGTAAAACTGTAATAAATGGATTAAACAGTGCTGGTTTGGTCAAAAAAGGAGCAGACGGGCTATGTAAACAAACCAGAGAGAGGCTATGATAGCACCACAGGCAGATGGAGAGTATCCACTGTATGTTTACATAGCAAATAGTTGTTTGCTGCTATATTAATGTAGTTTAGGTATATCTAAGGTATGTTTTTATTCATGTATACTCATAGGAATTAAAAATAAGAATTGTTGTTCTTACCTTAGAATGAGTTGAACATGTTGAACTACCGTGTTGCTACAGTAGCCCAGAACAGACAGACCCAACACTGGCTCTAGATATTTTGTATCTATTCGTGTTTTTCACGAGCAGCCGCCGCAGTTTCTCCTACATGCTTGGAAAGGGAGGGTGAGGCAAGGGCATTGCAATCAGCAGCTACACCCCTAGATGCCACTAAATCCTACACACTGTTCCTTTAAATGCACCTCTGCACAGCACCATGACGATGATGCTGCCAAACCTCCAGTAATGGGCAGGCTCATCTCTCAGTCTTTCTCACATATTCATTCATGCAGTCACTTCCACTGCACTCTTCCACTATCTCTTTATCTCTCCCCCCCCTCTTTTTCTGTTCTCTCGTTTTTTTTTCTCTCACTCTAACTCTTTACTCTGTCTTTTGTGTAAGTGAAGCCGGGGCCTCCCAGTGACATGAGCCCTGCTCCTGTAAAACTAATAATGACTGAGATTTGTGCGGGCTTAGCATTCTTTCTCCCTTTCAGTGCAGGACACTGAGAATGGGGTGAGGGGAGGGGACGGGAAGGGGAGAAAGGTCTAGTGGTAAGGTGGGTGGGTAGGGGGGGGAGAAAAAGGGGGAAGATGTCCTAGTTTCAGAGGGTGCATAACTTGGAAGACATGGGAAAAAGAAAGAGAAGCACAAGATGGGGAAAGAGAGAGAGAGGCCCATTTCCCTGAAACACACCACATGCTTTCATTCTTTATGGGTCAATGCCAGTGAAATCACACTGCATCCTCTCCAAAAAATATTATACTGACACAGGACTGTACGAACTTGGAAATGCACACATTAATTCGCATTCAGGTGTGTTCTGAGTATTCCCTGCAAAATGTAGTGTCAGATAAATCATGCACAGCCTGTCTCTAAGAGAAATCAGGAATGTAAACACTGGTTAATAGTTAAAATGCATGCTCGAACTCCAGGCAGGCAGTCAACAAGTATGTCCAAACCCCACACTTAGCAAAGCCATTTATTTTCCCTCCTACATTACCGCACGCAAGCAAAACATGTGAAGTGAAGCCACAGAATATAAAATATGTCCCAACCGCACACTGACACAGCTCTGTCAAATTCGCATAAAGATCACCAGATGTGCTGCGAGATGCAACAAGGGGGCAAGGGGGAGGTCTCACACACTTTGCCCTCTCTAACGCTCTCCCCTCCCTGCTTTCACCCCCCCTCCTCCCCACCCCTCTTCTCCCCTCCTCTGTCCCAGAGACATGTGCACACGCTGGGCCAGCAGACAGTTTCAGCTCTCAGCAACTGATGCACAGACAGCTGCTGTTTCTCCCTTCCCCTCCTTTTGCTCCCCTAACCATTCTCCTTTCGTGTCTTCCCTACACTGCCTCCATTCATTCCCTCTGTACTTTCCCCTTCCTTCTCTCTACTCTCATTCTGCCCTGAACTTTTTCCTCAGGCAGACAGAAAAGTAGGTCCTGTTGGAGGGAGAGGGCTTGTGTAATCTCTGGCTGCACATGAGCACCAGAGAGTTATTGCTTCAGTTGGAAAGGCAACATAACAGAAGACCCGCAAACGAGTGAAGGACAAACTTTGGAATAAGGGGAGAAAGAAGGAATACCTCCAAGACAGGAAGGGAGGTGAAGGAGGGAGACTCAGAAAGAGTTTGGAGTTGGGGTGCAGGACACGGACCATGCCGGGCTCTGTGGTGCTGGTGCTGTCCCTGTTGGTCCTGTCCACAGGAAGTGATGCCAGACGAATCAAGAAAAGAGGACTCAACCATAAGGTGGGGCTGCTAACCTCACCTTTAACTTTATGTGTGCACGTATGAGTGTGCGGCTCTTCTCTATCTCTGATTTATGTCTGTTTTCAGAATATCCTCAAAAGTGGAAGTAGGTGAAAGCTCACAGTACAATACCGGCTCTGTTACAGAGAGCTGGTTTCACAGTGTTGTGGCTGAGGTGAGAGTCAGGTTGACGTGGAGGGAGTGCTTTAATCCAGTAATGGACAGAACTTAGTGCATTCACCAATGTGTTGTTCTTTAAGAAATAGTTCAACATTTAGGTTTATTTTCTTGCCAAGGGTTAGATGAGAGGATCAATATCACTTTATTGTTCTGGTAAATATTAAGTAACAGCCAACCGCTGACTAGATAACCTTTGCATAAAGACTGGAAGCAAAACTAGCTAGCTTGGCTCTGTCCGAAGGTAATAAAATCCATCTATCAGCACCTCTTAAGCTCACTAATTAACACGTTATATCACATTTTGTGAAAAAACTGTATTACGAGGGGTCATGTGCCGGACTATTTCTTGGCTGGGAGCAGTGACATCCAGAACATAGCCACCACAGCTTGTTATTTTTCATTATGGTTTTTGTGCAAATTATGGGAACCATATAAAGCATACTCGTAATTTTTCCAATTTGTTTTTTTTTGTGGGGATTAAAAAACAGGTTTGTTGTTTCCCCGTTTCCAGTCTTTATGCTAACTAAGCTTATATTTACTGAACAAATGTCTATAATTCAGTGTGATTTTGAGTAACTTTACTTATTTATGTCTTCTTTATGCTACTTTTTTTAAACTTCTGCTTAAGGGATAGGGAAATGTATATTTTTTTACACATGTATTTAACAGTTATACTTATTAGATGGGTTGCATATTAAGAATTCACAAAAAAAAACATATGACCACCTTTTAAGATATGATGCATTGTTAGAGATTAAACCAGTATATATAAAATAGTCAAAATTAGCTTCCAGCTACAACATAAAAATCCTGATCACATGTTAATGCATTACTAATAATAATGCAATAATTGAATAATGTAGCACTTTGACAGGGAGATTCTGCTGAGTACCACTGACGTGCATTTCACTGGTAATGCTTCTGTACTTTTATGTAAAATTTTAAATGCTGGGCTTTAGCATTATTGCATTGTGATATTGCTTCTTTTACTTAAGTAGAGGACCTGAGAATTTCTTCCACCGCTGGAAAAGAAACAGTTTGGGAGTAGACACACTTTGGTTTTCCAGTTTTGATGAGGAGCAGAAAGTAGAGAGTCGCTGATTTTCAAGTTTCCATATGAGTAATTGAAGGGCACACTGGATGTACAACTTTTGTCTTTGTGTGTTGTGTGCATGTTTGTGTGTGTGTGTGTGTGTGTGTGTGTGTGTGTGTGTATGTGTGTGTGTTTGTAGTGGATTATTAGGGCAGGAACTGAACTTGCAGACCGGGCCCCTGCTTGTTAACTCAGCTCAGTGTAGCTGATTGATCATCTCTAACAAGGGTTCACTGTAGCGTGCTGCCTTCTCTTTCTTTTTCTCTCTCTGTAACCTCTCGTGCTTCAATGTTCTCACTTTCTAAGTGGTTTATGCCCTCATTGACCCTGTTCTCTCATTTTCAGCCTTTATCTCTCTTCCCCTCTCTCATATGAATCAATTAGTTACCCTTTCACCCTCTCTCTGCCCGGCTTTTTCCTTCCCCTTGCCCATGTGCCTCTCTCAGCATACCACCCCCCATTTTCCCTCTGTCAAATCTCTTTTCTCTCGTCTCCTCCCGCTCTCAGGATGGGCCAAAAGCACCGTCTTGCTGGACTCTGCTTCAAAGCTGCTGTAATTGGAACATGCTGAGACGGCTGTGCAGATGGAGTTTGTCTCTTTCCCTCTGAACCTTTTCATCTCTGCGTCTTTCAATCTTTAATTTTTTAACCACCATATACACACACACCCTCAGTCTCATTCACAACACCAGGGCCATGCAGAAAGACAAATTATAGTCATTGGGTATTTCACGTAGGCACTGCACTATGGAATAGTGTGTCTTGAAAGGAAAATTGGTAAAAATGTATAACAAACCCGAGGCCACCAGCATGCCCTTGTTTCCTTCTTGTTCTCTGAATGCCCCTTTTCTCCATATTTATTTATGTAAATACACACTGAATTAAGTCAGTGCTCAGTTATAAGTAGGTACTTTTATCAACATATTGAAGACTTTCCCAAATGCCTGATTAGAGATTGTGTAGATTTGTTACCTTAAAGAATCTGCAGATATAGAAACTTTTAGATTTTTAAAACCCAACAGATATCTATACCTTGCTGTCTTTGTATGTAAAGCCCTTACCAGAAAGGTGTCTGTTTGACCTTTGGGTCAGGTGGTCTTGGGGATCAGAGTTATGTCCATCCGTTCTTATCTAGACCTCCCCCTGCCACAAGGTCTAAAGGTCATCAGTGGCACTTTCCTAATTTCCTCTTTGTGTTTAACAGGGGAAAACACCTGCCAAATAATACCCTGCATGTAATAAAAGTGTAGAGGCATAAGAGGGAAATCCTACAGTTAAGAGATGTTGTTTGAAGGGAAGATGAAAGAACGTGGGGGCGTGGGCAGCAGAAGAAAAAGAAAAAAGGACCGTGACAGAAATGGTAATAACAGAGGCCTTAAAAGGTAACTTTGGTGTTTTTCAACCTGGACCTTAAAGGGGAACTTGGCAACTATTTCAACCTAATAAACCTGTTTAGAAATCATTTGGATGGTTAAATGGCCTGTTCCGGTGAAAATGGTGACTTTCCCCGCTCCCCCTAGCGTCCCCAGGCGGAAAACCAACCTTGCAACTTTGGGACTACCGTCCCGTTAAGTTGGAAATAGGAAGTATTGTGAGAAACGAGAACAAGCAAGAAACACAAACTGCTTTACGGCAATTCCACATAAACGCACACGCCCCCTTCAATACCGGTTAGCCACGCCGGTTATAAGAACAAGCGACGATGAATGAATTACCCACCTCGGTAGACATTGCTCCACACGAAAAAGTTGCCCGGCAACAAATGCATATCAGCAGCGGTAGAAAGGGGGAGGAGGGTGCCGCAAGTGAGTTTTTTTACGACGGTGTTTTGAAATATACGTCCCAGAGCTGTAGGGGGAGCTCGTTGAGAAAACATGCTATGACAAAAGTGAAAACCAGCGAAGAAATGGCTAGAGTTGCCAAGTTCCCCTTTAAATTCCCATGTTGCTGTTACAAAATGACTAATCAGGACAACAAGTAAGTTGGTATAGCAGGAACTATCTTGAGGATTTTAGACACTATCATGTATGAGTTATAAAGTAGTTTCATAAGTCTATGTCTGTGATATAAGTGAAAAGTACAAATTAAAAGTAAGATTTTTTCACACTGAGATGCACCTCTGTCCACAACTTTATAAATGTGTAAATTCCCGTCTCTTTACAAATCATTGCTCCTGATTCACAAATTCCATTCACAGCCCCACACACATACATACACATACACAGACCAGATGATTTAGTCTCATACAGCCATAACACGGTCTGGCTCAGACACCTGCCAGGGCATGTCAGTGAGCACGAACAGTGTCTACTGGCTACCATCATAAATCTTCACAGTTTCATTTATTTGATGTGTTGTGGACCATTCAGAGAGCACCTGGTGAGTCAGGGGCCCTGCAGAAATGTGAACTTCCTGTTCTTGGGCTGGCTACAGTTGGACTTGGCCTTGGGCCTCTATGTAAAACAAAACAGGCAAGTCCATACACTGCTTGTTCACTGATGGGAATTTGTAGTTTTTAAGGAAGTGATACCTTTTAAAGACAAGATTAGTCTACACTATGTAATGCCCCCTAATGCTATTAGGAAGAGTACAACTTGAGGTCCATGTCATGAATTGAATTGAAGGGGTTTAAAAGTGGCATATTGATTGCAATAGCTGAATTACACAATTATTTACTAACACACAGCAGTGCTTGACTGTTTTATTACTATCGGGGGAAATGCTGAAAGCAATTTAAGTGGTGAAGTTTGTTTGTGATGATGAGCTGGAATGTGTAATTTTGGCCTGTTAGCTGTTGCACAAACTTATCCACCCAACATTTCACTGCTGAGCGAGAGGAATGTATTTTAGGTCATCAGCAAATAGTTTAAGGCTGAGAGTTGACAAATTCTGGGAATGCATGACAACTGCAGTTCAGCCATAAGCATTGGTTGTATAAAGGCCTTTTCACAACGGCATTTAAAACAGCGAGATTACGTGCATTATGGAATCATTGTAAGTGGATTCACTCTTTGAGGGGACATAAATTATGCCCAATGCGAGTTCAACTGTGGTGAATTTGACCCATGAATTTGCTGACCAATAGCAAGCTGTCCTGAAAGAGCTAACTTATCAAGGGACAGAGAGCCAGAGAGTCCAAACTGTAGGTAAGTATCATAGTTTATAAGCTGCATTGCACCATTCACATTTACCTCTCAGATTATAAACTCATCCACAACACAGAACTGATTTCCAGGCAGTTATGAGAAAGGAGTCACTGGTACAAACATGTCTTTAAATAACTATGAACTTATTGTTCCCTTAGCAACCGAGCTACAGTAAGCTACAGTAGCAAGATTTTTTAGCTAGAGAGCCTTATTTTGCATCCTCCTTTATTGAACTAAATGTATAGAAGTGAACCAAATGCAAGGGAGGAGTGAAACAACAGAAAATAAATAAGCAGCAGAAGCTATTTTTACTGACTGGTCGGCTAGCGAGTTATTGGGGAAAGCCGATCTACATTTTGGGATCATCTTTGTAGCCTTTTTCATGTTTGAATTTTGGGAGTATGGATTTCTGGAAATATAGGAGTTATATAGGAGTTATTGCAGTCAGTCAGTCATCCAGTTTACCAGATCCATGAGCTGGTCTGTGCGGCTCTAAACAGGACTAATCCCAGTCAGATGATGTGAGTCTGCTGGTCAGAAGCACTGGACTCACGCTGGAGTAGATCGCCACTCAATACCATAGACACACACACACACACACACACACACACACAAGCCACACAGACAAACTCATTTCCACATCAGCTGCTTCACTTTCTTCACCTGGAGCCTCTGATGTTCCAGACATTCTTTTTATTTGGCAGCAGAGAGAAAATTGATATCTGAGTATGTGAGACCACAGACATGTTTGTTTCCATAACTCTGCATACCAAAGCGCAGACACAGCTCCTCTTAAATTTAAAACTGATATGGAAGTTGTTCCACTGTTTTTTATTTCTAATGTACAAGTTACACATTAGTTGCTGTGGCTGTAGGACTATGGACAGACAATAGAGGGGTAATACAGTATATGACCTCTATCATCTCTACTACCTCAGGTTATGACTGACAGAAAGCAGATGCTATTTCAGACTGTTCTCCCAACTCTAATTAGCTACATTCACAGTTGGATTACTTCTGTCCTGCTGTGTAAACCACACATCATGTTGGCGCATCTGCATTTCAAGCTTAGACATCGCCACTCTGCCAGTATGTTCACAATTCAAGGACTGCTTTTCCTAACTGTGCATCTACCTGTTTGTCTGTCAGCATGTCTTCAGATCTCTCACTGAAACTTTCACGTCCAACTGATTTACAGGCTGTCTGTTTGCCTCACAGTTTAGCCTGCTGTGTCTCCGTCTATCTGCATGTCTGTCTCTCTTTCTGTCAAACTGACTGTTGGTATAGTGACAGGAAATGAGTACTGACAACCCGAAAGCTAACCAGATGTGTGCTTTGGGCTACTTCATTTAGTAGACATGGAAGATCTGGCACATTGGAGTTGACACTTATATGAAAGAACACAGTTTTTCCTTGTTTGTGCATATGTGTGCAGAACCTTCACCCTGTAGTGCACATGTCTGAGACTGGGTGTGTTTTTGGGTGTGTGCCTGTCTGTGTGCATGCGCAAAGGAAGCAGAAAATCTCAGTATCAGTCTTAAATCTCTGGAACCAAGAACGGCCTGATTTCAGTACAGTTATGGAGCCAGACAGGGTCTCCAGTGGCTTCTCCCCACAAACTCCCCATTAACCACAGAGCACGGGAGACAGATAAAGACAGACCAAAAGAGAAAAAGAGCTGTTTGGAATCAGTCGTTGCAGCCAATGCGTTGCCACACCAAAGAGAGAGGAAGAAAGGGAGAGGAAAAAAATCAAGGAGGTAGACATGAGAGCGAGAAAACATGCCCACAGATGAACATCACACACTGGGCCCGCTGGCAGTGTCTACAGGAGAGCAGACAGAAGTGTAAATAAACAATGTGGGACATCAGAGAGATGTGCGCAGGATTGTGTGATAGAGCTCAGGATGTAGAGCATGGCGGCCCTTCTGGCATAAAGACAAAATGACACAAGAGGAGCAGTTGCAGTAAGAGCTGAATGACAGATGGGTTAAATAACAGTAAAACAGTACAAAATAAAAGAAAAAGATGAATGAATGGCTTCTGTAGGGTAGGGTATTCATATTTACAAGCAAAATCACTTTTTCACGCACGCTGCCACATAAACAGGAAGGGTACACTTGACCTTTTGTTGGAGACGCTTGCAGGAGACTTTAGGAGCAGATCGGATATGAGACAAGTGGAGCAGGCAGCAGTCATTATGTCATTATCCAGTCACAGCAGACTTTGTAGTCCTCATCCATACATATAATTGTACCTGGAGACGTTGTGAACCACTATGGCTCCACTCACCTCTTGAGAGCATAAGACCTGTAGTGTACTAGTAGAAGAAGCTGTAAAAATGGTGGTTAAGTGTTTAGGGATGGGTATTGTTTGAAGGTTTTCGAGACCGGTGTCAATACGATACATGTATTTTTGTACCAATAACGAAACAATACATTTTTCAGTAATTCAAATGACCTGGGAATGAGACAGTGGCCGCGGAACTCACAAAAACTGCCCTATCTTTATGCCCTAATTCCCATATTTAGGTGATTATACACTAATGAAAACATACCTATGAATATTATATTCCATTTCTGCCGATAGATCCTCCTGAATGTTACACTGGACCTTTAACTACTGACAGTAAGATCTCAGAGTAAATTTTACAAGCTCTGACTGTAAGAGCCACACATTGCTCCCTCCATCCCTGCATGGTGTAATTCCACCCTCCTCCTCCTCCCACGCCCAAAACCCATCCACCCATTAAGCTCGCAGCTGCCAGGACAAGTTAACGTGTGTTTAAAAGTGAACACACATACGGTGTGAGTGATACCACGTCGGGGCCAAACATTCGCTTTGGTTTTTCTGGTTGGTTTGTAAGAGCGTTCAAAGTAAGTCTGCCAAACAAACAACACAGTTTTAATGACCATGTGTAACCCACAAGCTGATTATCTAATTACTAATGTAGTGTAGAAAAAAACACCCATCCCTCCATCTCTCTCTCTCTCTCTCTCTCTCTCTCTCTCTCTCTCTCTCTCTCTCTCTCTCTCTGGGACACCCTGCCCAATGCAAAAAGTCAGAGAAATGCACCCACATGACTGAAAAGACATACATTCAGAAAAACACACCATGTGTTCCAAGGGTACATTTGGATTACTTCAGAATAAAAAATGTAAAGATTTTTTTCATTAAAAATCACAAAATATTTTCAAAGTAACAAAAGATTTCCAATAATAAAAACAATATCCATATTAAATAAATTGTTCCTTGTAATGTTTTTCAGTGGTTGCTGTAAAAGTAATCTTAGACCAGCCAATTAACAACACATTGCTCATTGGTATTTGTAGGAGTAAGAAGGGAATAAACTGGAAACTTGATCACACTGTAGCCTGTTATACAAAAGCAAATACTGTGTATGAGAAAATATGAGAGTTATTGTTTAGTCAAGGGCAGCTGTGCTTCTTGGGATTTTGTTGTAACATTTCCCATGTGTACATAACCCAGAACAATGAATGGCTGCTAATACTGTGGCACAGAACTTGTGCAGCAGCGTGAAAGAGTATAAACCCACAGATTCTGTCCAGTACGTGAATCAATAGATCAACAGCTTGGAAAAAGCTATAAAACCACAGATAAAGATCCCATTATGTTAGCCTCTGCAAAGCATGCAAGAGCAGAGCTTCTCACCAACAGTTTGGGCATTGCTGTGTGTGTACTTGTGCAAGTGTGCACGTAGGCCTACACTTTATGTTGCCAAAGCTGTCGAAGTGTGTGAAGTGTGTCTTTGCTTGACTCGGGGTCCTTTGGCCTACTTTCTCCCTCTCAGACTCACCAGGGAAGTGTTTGTTCCCACAGTGAATCACCTTCCCAATCCAGATCAAGACGTTAGCAGCCAGGCATGCATACTAAAGCCAAACCTTCACCGTCTCTGCTGTAGCTCTGCTGTGCTGAAAAGTGATCAGATCCTTTGCTGCCCTCTTGTGGGTAAAACGTGTAATCTATGTGTGTATGTACATTGTGTGAACATCTGGTTAATTTCTCATGTGTGGCATTCAGTATTTTTCATGAAGTTTACCAAAACACTAACAATTTTATTTGGTTGGTTTCCAGAATGGCCCATACTGGCAATTTCTGATCTGGAAAGTTTCTGTTTTTCATATAATTCCTCTCATCTGTCTAATTTAAAATCTTAACATCTACCAGATAGATTGGCACAGATATTTAGGGTTCTTTTTTCTCCACCATGACGTTAGATTTTTAATTTGTCCAATACTTTGAATGATTTCTTTTTTTTAATTTACGGTTTATAAAAAACTGAAATTTCAGACCTTTCGTAAAAAAATATGCATATCTTTTCACTGAGGCAACTACCGTATCTACAGTGACATATTAGGCAAAAATGTGTCTTTTTATTATTAGGCCTACTATGTGTTGCCTTTATTTTTTTTATTTACTTATGTGATTAAATATGCAAATATGATTGCATGCAAAGAGCAACACTGAAAATTCCCGAGACACACTAGAAAAACATATTGTGATTCTCTAGAGCCGTGGTTCCCAACCTTTTTTCCTTGAAGCCCCCCTTGCCTGTGTCCAAGACAAGTCAGGCCCCCCCAACCCCAACCCCTACCCGCATACACGCACTAAATAGGTAATAAATAGCTTAATGAATTTAAATGTGGACCAAAAATATGTTTCAATTTGGATTAAACAGCGTGTTACTGGAATTTTATAAATTTAATTTTTGTAAATAATAATTTTGGTAACCTCACAACCTCAGCAGACAAAGTCGTGTGCACCCCCTGTGATCTCTGGCACCCCCAGCTGGGGCGCAGACCCCAGGTTGGGAACCACTGCTCTAGAGGAATCGAGATAGAGCTAAGCTCCAACAAGGTGCTCCCTCCACTCAAAAATATGTTTTTTCTCTTGTTCCTACAGTTATGTGCTGAGTTTTAATCATCCACTGAGAGTTTACATGCCCTTCCCCTGCAGGTGTTTATTCATTGCAATACCCCCTCACTATGGCATGAGCCTAAAGCAGTTTTTGATAGACCCTGAACCTCTACTGATATTTAGAGTCATTGTATGGACAAAATGTAGAGGGAGGGTATCAACAGGATGCATTTGTTTCTTTTTCTGCTTATCAGGACTATGAATACCCAAACCACCCTCAGTCCACACAGCACCAGAAGAATGACCGGTGTCCACCGCCGCCCCAGATGCTGCCAGAAAGAGCCTGTGAGGTGCCAGGCTGCCGCTCAGATTCAGAGTGTGAGCGCCATAAACGCTGCTGCTACAATGGCTGCATCTACGCCTGCCTGGAGTCTGTGCAGCCACCTCCAGGTCAGCAACAGACAGACGTTTGCACACACAATAGTGTTTGTCAGAGATAGTTACATTGTGCCTTAAATGAGTTTGAATTTGTTATTCTGTGAAAGCATTTTCAGGACTTCACAACAGAAACTTCATGGAAATTTGTCTGTTTGTGTTTCCCTCTTCCAGTTGTGTTAATTCGTATTGCTTTACCTGTTTGTGTGTTCTGAACAGTGTTGGACTGGCTGGTGCAACCCAAGCCTCGGTGGTTGGGGGGTAATGGCTGGCTGTTAGATGGCCCTGAGGAGGTTCTGCAGGGTGAGTACAAATACCTGACCAGTCACTGAGGTCAGAGAAAACATTTGTTAGTCCAGCTTGTAGGCTTGCATAACTTTTAAACTCCCATCCCACTGAAATTCTCAATGATTACACACACACAGCCTTCAAATGCTAATCCCACCCAGCCTCTTCCCAGTGAGTCAGAACAAAACAGGTTTCATTCAGCACATTTTGGCTTGATTTCACCGTATATCCCCATCTTGTTACGTGGGTGATTTGTTCTAATGCACAGTACGTTTTGTCCCCACTAGCTGAGGCCTGCAGCACCACTGAGGATGGAGACGAGCCTCTCCACTGTCCTACAGGCTACGAGTGCCACATCATCAACCCAGGAAACCCTGCTGCTGGCATCCCTAACCGGGGACAGTGCATCAAGCAACGTGGCAACTCCGGTATGGCTGCTGCTTCTGGTGATAAAATAGCTGAAGGATCATAATGAATGTCACTGTGATATGACATTGAATCCAGGCCTTTAATACAGTCATACAATCATCTCCTATCTCGGTGTTATTTTTTACAACTAATGCCCTGCTTGTCTAACTTCTATCCTAAGTTTGTGCTCATATAAAGCACCAGGGGACAGAGACAGGATGCCAGGTTGTGCCAGCAGCTGTTTTAGAGTCTGGCCTGGTGTCTCTTGGCAGATCAAATGCTGTTATGTGCCAAATCTCTCCTATTAGATCTATAAATAATACACAAATTGGAGTGACCTGGCAACTTAGTGGACTGCCTCAACTTATCCGTGATCTGTGACTGAAGCTGTGGACAGAAATATTGAACTAATGATTTAATCAAAAGTTTCTACTTAATATATCTCTCAATCTCAATTTAAGCAAGAATTCAAAGTGCTGTGTGTACGTTTTGGAGAACAGATGTCTTGTTTTTTATTTAATTTGTGCATTTTGGCCATTTTATTTACAGATGGACGTGGTCTGAGGCACAAATACTTCAAGGACTACAAGGATTACTTAGGTAAGTGAGGTAATATGGACAACTTAAAAGCCTGCACTGTTACTGAACCAGAAATAGCGCCAATCTACCTGACATGTTGATGGCTTTTTCACTCACAGGTACCAGTTCTAACAATGCAGTAGGCTACGAAAAACATCACCACAAGCATCTGGGATGAAGTACGTTTTCAGCCACTTTCAACCATCATATTAAAAACCAAAGACCCTTGAACCTTTATCTCCCTTTAGACAAAGCCTTATGGATTTTTTTTGTTGTTGTATCTGCTCTCAGATCAACCTGACCTCAGCCCCAGCTACGACCATAACACAACCTCAGACATCAGCTCCACTCCTGTTCGATCTGCTCTCATCACAGCTGAACCAGGATCAGAACTGACCTTTTTACCAGACCTACAGCTGCTACCTCCTCTTTGCAAAGCCCGCGTCTTGCGGCCTCAGTCGCGAAGTCCTTTGGGAGACGAGTCTGAAGTGTCTACAGTACACAACCAAAGAAATAAGTGCTTTTTTTTTATCTCTCTGCCTGGTGTCTGTGAAAGGATGGAGCAGAGGGTGTCGATGTTGAAGCAGAGGTGAGGCGAGCAGGGCGTGCACCAAAGCTTTTTAATGTCTCAAAAGGAAATAAGGAACCCATGCCATTTCTTTTTCATTTCTTTACAACCTGCTCATTTTTATTGTCACACACTCTCTTACCTTAAGGCTTGGTCAGCAGAGAAAATCAAGACCATGTGGCCCAGTTACCCATTCTGTCTCTCCTGTTCTCAGAAGGACGGTGCTCAAGTTTCCAGATCTGAAATGTGGAAAGTTTTATGGACAAATCGAAAAAAAAATCCAACATTAGTGGCTGCATCTTTAAATCAAATCCAAATGGGGTTTAATATTCTAATAACTTTAATTAAAATAACAAATGCCATATGAGTGTGTGGATTGTGTCAGTTTCAATATATTTGGAACAGCTGTAGATTAGTTCCAGCCAACAGATGCTGACCGTGACTTCATTGCTGTGAAAAGCAAATTAAAGTTAGGTAAAAGAGTTTATTTCAGAGGTCCATTGGAGATTTAAAGGGATAAAAAAAAAAAAACACCTTTAAATAAGCTTACATGGGCAAGTGTTTGGTACTGAAAAGATTCAGTTTGGGTGAATTATCCCTTTAAAGACAAACTCTGTATATACAGCATCATATCGGTAATTCATTTCCTGAAATTAATTTACTGGTGACCATTTTATATGAAACAAGTCATACAACAAATATCTACCAGTGCAGATTATTCAAACATTTCAGAATTTTGAATAATCATGCTGCATCATTTCTAAATAATCTTAGTAAACCTCACACTATCACAGCCCCTGTTGCAGTACATGATAATAAAATGGCTTTTGCACAGAGCAGATATTCAAAACATTTATTTTCAAACTTCCTCTTGCTTCAGCCGACTGTTAAACTTACGTTGTCTCTGTTATCAGTTCAAATGGTGCTCAGTTTCATTGCTGCCTATAACAGAAGAATAAGCTGGTCACATAATAAGCTGAAGGTGTAAAAGAAAAGCTGGAACCATTCTCTGTGTGCAGAACTAAAGTGATGTCTGAATGTTATTTTCTGACTGGTGCTGTAATGTTGCCTCGTTCATTCTAAATAAACCGCATTGTTGAATAAGTTTTGTGATGTTTTTCTATTTTCTGCCAATCATTCAGGACGTTCATGTTGTAGAAATGATCATAAAACAACATGAAGATGATAACGCCACTGCAAAGACTACACCACAGACTATTATTTGACAGTTTCCAATCCGATCCTGATCAGTCATCATTCTTCATCAGTGTGGATTTACATGAAACCAAAATGATACAGTACTGAATACAGTGTTTATTTTCCAACAGACCTTTTTCACAGCAGCACAAAATTGACATGAAATAGTAGGGTAAACACAGGTGTTACCAATGATAATAATTAAGGTTCCGTACCTTTCAGGTCAAACAGAGTCAGGGTGCTGCTATTGTGCATGTTGGCTCACTGGAAAGGCTCTGCTACACTAAATGGAACAGAACCTTAATTAGTATTGTTGGTGTTCCTTGTTTGTACAGTAGGTTCTAAACTGAGAAGCACACACACACACACACACACACACACACACACACACACACACACACACACACACACACACACACAGGATGTCAGAAACACCTCAGGGAGTCAGAGTCACAGTCACAGTTTCAGGATTTCCAAAGCAAAATTAAAAACTGTTTAATTTCCCTACTGCCAAGAAATTGCACGCAACAGAAAATGTGTAACAATTACTCTTTTAATCAATATCTTTTTCTTGTTATATCTAAATTATATTCCAAAAAAATCATATGGGTCCAAAAGTTATAGTTATTACCTAACACGTCACTCTATAAATAAATTGTATTATTATATTATTATTATCAATAATCAAGGAATCAAGGAAATGAATCCACATTATACAACAAAAGGCTGCAATAACATAAAACATATATAAACCAGAATAACATAGAATAAAAAATATATACAGTTATTTATATACATATACGTATACACCCAGGAAATGACCTCACAGTAGGCCTAGATGTCTTCCTCCAGCACAGAAAAAATCCACGTTTTCCTTTGTTGAAAGCTTAATTACAGGATGATTAACATCAGATGTGGTGTATCACAAAAAGAAAACTAACCCACATTATAAAATTCATACAACTGCACAGCTGATCATAGTTCCTCATACCACAAGTCATCACATGTATTTCAAGGGTAACCTCTCTTCCACATCATTCCCACATTTCCTCATTACACCTGGCTCAGTCATAGTGTCATAAAATATATATGAGCACTAGGTTGCAGCTTCCCAGCATTATGCATACCCGACATGCAATGAGTTCTTTTCAGTCCCACCCAGTAGAAGACAGTGAGACACAGATGGCTCACATTAGGGGCAAAACTAAGTGGCACTCCTCACCTGGTGCTAATCGGCCAATCACTGATCGGAAGGAGAACAGGTGTTTGTCAGTGAGTTCATGTTTTTCAATACATGCTGTGTTGTAGCTCAGTTGGAGAGGATAACTTAAGTGGGTCAGTTCCAGCATGTAGCAACCTCTGAATCATTAGCAGAGCTCTGTTTGGACTTTTATCTCACAATACAGAGACAAATCTCTCATAAAAGATTCACACTGTATCCATTACACATTTTTCACTGAGTGCTTTCCCATCTCACCTTCAGCTTTTTTGGCCACAAATAAACAAACTTAAACGCTAACTCTGTCATTTATAACAGCCTGTGGACAAACCCCTTCCATCCCATTAACTTCATTTACTTCATCTCCCGGTACAATATATAGGAAACACATGTAACATAACTTGTCCAGTATACCTTACATTAAAGCATCGTGTATCTTTTCAATCTAAAAGTTCTCCTTCCTGAAGTAAAAAAAAGGAAGTTTTATACAACCACGAAATGGTTTGTTAGCATTACCATGAATTACAGTGAGTGGAAAATGTATAGCCCAGTGGGTGTCTGTCTCCCGCTTTGTCTCGTGCTCTCTCCCTCCCTCTCTCTCTCGTGCGAACACGCGCGCAAGCACGCACGTGAGCACCTGCCTAAAAGCTGCGTCAGAGAAAAAAAAAAAAAGGAAAAGGAGAATGAAATTGTCAGTGAGTACTTAGTGTGGCGAGTATAAGCCGGTGGTGGTGACGCCCCGCAGCACACTGTCTGTCTATCTGTCTGTCTGTCTGTCTGTCATTATCACCGGGTCGGACTAACTATGACCGCTTCATCACTGCCACCTTGTTGATCAGTTCACCATGAGCGCGCCGAGCAAATCATCAGAGAAAAGGTCAGTGCTACAGGAGAGATTCATTAAAAGTGATGTTTCCATTTTTTGTGCACTCAAGTGAATATTACTCAAACTGGTGTTGGTTTATTCTTTTTAATGTTCTTTCTCTGTCTTTGCAAATGAACAATACTCTCTAAAACTCTACTCTAAAAGTTTGTGGATAATGAATAATGTCTTATTCTTTATTAGGAACAAGTCACTGTAATGAAACAGCCTAATGGATGTTTATTTTTTTCGTGAGGAAGAGCCAAGAAGTTATTTATCATCCGGTGATTAGTTTACATATTTACTAAATGAGACACTTTATCCTATTGGTAGCTTAGCACCGGAAACTGTCTTGACTGAGTCGACACCTCCATAAAAGCAGGCACTCCTCAACGTGTTTAATATAAGACAAACGGATGCCCAGAAGGTGTCAGTGTAGTTTATGCAATGGAAAAGGCTCTTCAGTCTTACAGCTGTGACTGTCTATAAGAGAAAACAGCTCACAAATTCATGTCATCTAAACATCGTGGTTTTTTTTTATATATGCTTCAGTCAAGGTTAATGGCAGTGCAACATTAGCTGGTTTGTACCAGAGATTTATTCTTGAACTCTGAGGCAATACGTATTGGCATCATTAAAGAATTCCATGCATATGTGCAGTCGTATTAAACTTAGATGTTTCCTTTTGGACAGGAGTGGCACCAGAAATAAGCTGGATAAGCTGTTAAAGGACAGAAAAGGCAGCTTTCCACGGTTGATCAAGGTAGGGGTATAGCTATGAATTCCTCATCAGTGTATCCTGTGTAAATTCTTTACAAAATCTTTGACAGACTTGTGTTTGTTTTTTTCTTGTCAGCCTGACCGCTTCAGTATATCATTCTAAGTTATAGTGGTGGCCATGTTTTTTTGTGTGCCTCTAAGCAACTCTACACCCTGTCTTGATCTGCAGGCCATTAAATAAATGTTATTTGGGTGATTGTGTGCACTCAGCAGAAGTGATTTATTAGGGAACATACTCTGCCTTGTGGTGTTCTTGGCCTGCACGTATGAGAGAGGTGCCCTTTTCCTATTTGCAAATGTTGAGAGATCACAACCTGCCCAACCCCGAGCCATTCTAAGGCCACGTACTGTATCTGAGGTCCTCTGCTCTGTCATCGCCAGACCGTCACCCCGTCATCTCCCCTTCCTGGAAAGTTCCACAACTTTCAGCTCTGCCCTACAAGGACACGTTCACGCAGCAGTGGACTGATTCACCCCCTCCCTTCCCGCGTGGAGGGATTAGAGTGTTTCAAAGCCCCTCGGATGTCCCGCACCGAGAACACTTTTCTATTTACTCTTGATTAAACTTTTAATATAATGTCTGGACCTCTTTGCCATGAGGGTGGATAAACCAGTGGAGCAGGAATGACTGAATCCCTTTGATGTGAAACATTGTAAAGGACACTGCTGTTTGTCCCACTCTAAAGCTACCTGGGCTCATTCAGCGCTCTGTTTATAATAGAGATGGTTTGATGAGGAGATAGATGAATAGTGAGGAAACACAATGTAGATAACATATGAATATTGGCCATGAGGGACATGAGATTCAGATAAAAGAAATGAATGAATGGCTGCCTTTTGTGTGTGCGTGTGTGTGTGCAGGTGTGAGCACAGCAATAGCCATGGTCATTATCAGTCAAATACAGAATCCAAACCAAGCTCAGACTTTATTGTTCTGTCTTACATGTAGAGCACCGCACACTGCAGGGTGTGTTGGTAAAACTCTTTAATGCTTAATCCCATCATGGTTTTTTTTTATTTGCTTTGATCTCAGCGCTTAAATAAGGCCCCTCACATAGATACTCTTTAGTTATTAATTACCAATGGCACTGTTAAGCCAAAAGACACTTGAGATAAGAATGCTGGAAATCTTTGAACATCAGTGAGAAACTGAGGAGAGCCTCATCTGAGGCGTTGTTTGAAGCTGTTTGGGCTTATGCTGTGAGCGGACTCCGCGCTCAGGGTGTCAGTTCAAAAGATTTTCTCTTTTTCTAAGTTAGGAAATCAATAGAGGGCATTTGCGTCATTACAAAATACAGACGCAAGCAGCTGCTCTCAGCCGATGCATCATATCCCCTCTAGATGTGAAATGCCTTGAAACTGTAGCATGCAGAGTGTTTTCATGTTTGCAGCTTTTACTCGATATGACTCACTACTGACGTCCACCTTCGGCATTTAAGCCTTCTTTTTATATCAGAAAGTGTTGTCTTATCTTCCCAATAAAGTGGTACCCTGTGCTGCATGGACATAGATAACTACATACATGACTAATTTTTGGGCATTCATCCATTCGCTGAAGACTAATCTTGAATCCTTGTGCTGTAATATTAATACTGTAGTAGGTTCAGCACTGATGTATCCGCTTCTTTAATGTTTTTAACTTGTAGAGAACTTGTGAAATGAAAATTTTTATTATCAATCTATCAATTCATATCAATCTATTAATAGTTTGGTCAGAAAATTGTTGAAAATGTCTGTCACAGTTGTCTTCATTAGTCCAAAACCTAAAGATATTCAGTTTACAATGATATAAAATAGAAAAACAGCAAATTGAATCACTGGCAAAGCTGGAACCTCATACTGGTTGGTGTTTCGATTAATGAATTACTTAAACAATTAATTGATATTGTAAATAGTTGCAGATTAATTTTCTGTTGATAGGCTAATCTATTAATCAAGCTCCAACTCAAACCGTATATAAAAACAGTACGCTCTGTTCAACCATGACCTTGATTATTTTTTGTGCACTTTATGACCTGCTTAAGAGCATTGTTTACGAGGGCAGAC